TCCATATCTGAAGAAAAAGTAAACAAATGGATGATTCACTTCGGTAGAGCTTCTGCTTAAGGTTTTTTGGGGTGAGAGGCAATCATTACATTTTTCCTATTTAGTGAATGATCAACTGGTTTGCTTTTTGCTTAACTATCTGTTGAACTATTTCCCATCTCCTCCTTTGAGGATGTGCTGGATACTATATAAAATTTGATTGCAGACACATACTGCCCACTAGTGAAAGGATTCTGGATAAATCAAGTCCCAAGCCAAGATTATCTGGAATTTGGATACATTCATGTGAAAACAGGCGACTGTCAAATAATTCTTCGTACTTACAGCCAGCATGTTTACTTTCTATTGTGATTTATACTTTGCAAAGTATTTTTTCATTCATTTTATTTGAAATGAAAAATCAACATATTATAATTGTCATGTCTCCAAAAATTTCATATAATCAGCAGCAAATAGCTCATCAGTGAGCTGTGAGGACACCTTTGCTTCTGATATTTGGTATGAAATCCCCTTTGGTAATTATGGCTTGTAAAGTGAAGAATTGTATCACCTGGGTTCAAGGGCACAAGAAGCTTAGTCTCACTTATTGCTCATTATAACCACGAGTAATAATACCACAAGCAGCAGGTGGGGCAGTTTATGGAAATTCCCACACCAGACAGACATTTTCATAGAAATTGCCAATTTGCTCCAACAATTTGTTCTAAAAGGCTTTTAGAACAGGTCCTTCACTTTTCTGGCACAATCTGCCAACTTCCCTGTGTCTGTTCCTGTCCTTTGCCCTCCCTTGTGCTCAGCTGTGAAGATGTGGTCTGGTCCCTCTGAATTCTCCATCCTCTCTCCTTACACTTTCTGAAGGACTAGGCTCTGTCAACAGACTTTTTCCTGTACTGTCATTTTTTTCCTGCTTTGCCAAAAATTTCATGCCATATACATTCAGACATGTTTCTTATCTTTCTTCTTAAAAGTCACCTCTCTGGGAACTGAGTTCACAAAGTTGTCCTCTGATCTTCACAAGTGTGCCATGGCATGCACACCCCTCCCCACCCCCATTTCTCTCACATAGGTAAAATTTAAAAAGCAACCTCTCTGAACCTTTCTTGATCTTCTGGGTCTTTGCTTCCTGGCTTTTCTTTGTGACGGAGTACACAGCAAGCCCAGTATACTCTTGGGCCTTTCCTACCCATCTTTGTCTCTTGACTCTCCTTCACAGCAGAGCCCATAGCAACTCCAGGATGCCACTGCTGCCTCCATGTGCTCTCATCACATCCTGTCCGTGACGTCTACCAGCTTGTCTTTATCAAGGTCACTGGTGACCTTCAAGCTACAAAAGCCATGTTCCTTGACAGCCCATTTAGATTATCTATTTCCTGCATTGTCCATGGCTAAGATCCCTTTCAATCATGACTGATTCTTCTTGGGGTCTCCTTAATCCTGCCCTGCCTTCCCTGGTGTCCTGTGTGTCTCCATGTTCTCCAAGACAGCCACTCAGCTTCCTGATGCCTGGCCATTTTCTCATTGTTTCTATAGAGCCTTCCTAACTGGCCCACTCCACTAGCCAGTCCCTGTGCCAAAGATGTCCAGTTTTCACTCCCCTCCAAACCCATGCATCCAACTACTCACTACATGTCTGCACCTGGATATCTTAATGGTAATCTCCAGTTTCTCAGAAGAACAACACTTCTCATACCTCTGTCCTCCCAACCCATGTCTAGCTATGCAGAAAATCAGACTCAATATTCACACCCAAACATCAGACAGCATGAAGGTCTCCATTTCCAAAATAAATCCAAATCAGGCCATTTTTCTCTGTCCTCATTGGCACCACCCCACACCAAATGACTCCATCATCTTGCATCTGGATGATCTGAGCCAACTCCAAAATGCTTGTCTGACATCAACTCTTGCCTCCTACAATCCCTTCTTGACTCACAGCTTGTGACTGGATAAAACAATCCATTGTATAACTCTATCCCACAGCATCCTGCAAGTTCTTAAGTATTGCATACCTGGTCCACAGGCGACAAATCTGGCCCCTGTGTCATCCTCCCCACAGTGACCCTGAGCTCACAGGTGCCTTCTCTACATTAGAACTTAATTTCATCGAATTCAAACAAGTTCAGATGAAAGGCAATACCAAGAACAAAAGAACAAAAGGCCACCCACTCTCCATTTACCTGAGAGTGGTATTCCTAGAGGACATTCTTAAGCTATGAATAAATAAGTTATTTATCCAACTTCTCCTTCTTAATTTGAAAAATTCGAGATTATAATTTCTTGTTTTGGTGGAGATGGAGCCCAGGGCTTGCGCATGCCAAATACCCCCAAACCCTTAAAAATTATTTTTTAGTGCTAGAGCATATTTAGTTCACAAGTTACTAAACATGGGCTGAGAGTGCATCTCAATGGTTTGTGAGACCCTAGCACTTCAAGAAAAAAAAGTTGTCTGATACTTACAGGAAAATAAATTCAAGACTCAAGTCATTGGTTATCCACAGTGGCAGATTTTGTCAAAGATTCAGTTTCAAAAATGTACTAGGCACAGTGATGCCATGTTTAGTATTAAAACACTTGACTTAGCTCTACTTTTATAACATTTATAAAATGCATTCCTTCAAATAAAAGTTAATCCCCAAATTTACCAAACATTATTAGGGTATAAGACAGATATTTGTCTTGATAGCTTTCTTAGCAAAGGTGATAAGAATGCGCTCCAAGAACTATATAATTTCAGAAAATAAATAGTATATTTCCAAGCACCATAGAATAAAAGTCTCTGAAGATTGAGTGGATATTAAAAATTTAAAAAATAAAATTTTCTGAAGGAATGGTACACATTTACTTTTAAGTTTGGTATTTACAAAAGTCTGGGATTATTATACATAAAACACCCTTTTTTCACATGAATACCGACATGTAAAACAACAGAATGCTAGGACATAAAAGCCAAAAAATAAAAAAAAGAAAACCCCAGCAAAACAATTCTCTAAAACACTTTGCTGCCCCAACTACATTTTAATTGCATTTGCATCTTCTGGTACCACATTCTCTTAGATGGATAATTATGATTCCTGATAATCATTTTTAAGCAAACTTAATGAGTTTGAAAATATATGCATTTATAGGAAGAAATGATTCTTCAAGGTTTATATTTTTATTAAAAATATATAAGACTTAACTCAAAAGGCACTGTCACAAATTACGAGGATGCTTTGGAACACATGAGAGGCACAGATGGTTTCTGAGTTTTAGACTGAATAAATCATCTGTGAATGTTCAGAACAGAAGAAAAATGATGTAAGACTGAGTAATAAATCTTAATTTCTCATAAGCTTAGAAAAACATTTTAGAGGAAAATATTTAGGAATATTTGAGGTATTTTATGATGGCTTTGTGCAAACAGGCCAGGACAGCTTTGAGAACTCAAACTCTTGTCTATAAATGTCTACGTCTGAGGCTGAATGAGAAAGCCACTCTTGATTTCAACCAAGACTGTGCAGCTTTAGGTGGTTTCCCCAATGCACAAAATTCCATGGCAAACAAGGCTGACAGTCTGCAGAACCTGTTAGTATCTGGAGGCTTTTCAGCATGTCAGAAGCATCTAGTTTCCTTTCACCTGCCTCACCATCTCCTTGTCCCTTTTCCAGTCATCAATAAGCAAAGACACAGTTTAGAGGCAATGTATCCTATGCCAGATGCCAAGCTGTTTCTTTGATCCAAGGTGTCACTCTTTACTCCTGTTCAGAAATTGCAGAGGTGGCACTGGATACATTGGGATGATTATCAGAACAAAATTACATTAAAGGGTACAAACAAAAACTTAAAAAAAATTTGATTTATTTATTTTTATTTTATGTGTATGAGTGTTTTGCCTGCCTGTATGTAAGTGCACCAATGTCATGCAAAGCCCACAGAGACCAGAAGAGGGTGTCAGATCCCCTGGTACTGGAGTTACAGATGGTTGCTAACTGCCATGTGGGTGCTGGGAATTGAACCCAGGTCCTATAAAAGAGCAGACAGTGCTCTTAACCATGGAGCCATCTCTCTAGCTCTATAAAAGCTTTTCAAAAGAAAATTGTTATCCACCACCCTGATACAGAACACAGGATGGCACACTGTGGGATGGGGTGGGACCAGTAAGTATACCAGGCCCTTCTACCAGAGCAGGACAAGGTTCCTATTTACACAGCGGTTTCTGCAAAATGTGCCCTTGGATTTGATAACAGAAAGTGTCTGCAAACTACCCTGTCAGGCAGTGAAAACTCTGAAATAGAGTTACAGATAAATGTATACGCGCGCACACACACACACACACACACACACACACACACACACAAATGCTCTTTTGGTACAACTGCAACAAAAATGACTCTCTGAGAAATTTAATAAATAGTTTGCATTTAAACCCTGCTTCATCAAATTACCAAACATTTTAAAGATATGTAAATCAAATAAGAAACAATAGTACAGAGCTCACTCTCTGGTACAAGCAATGTTGCCCCAGGGACAATAGAGCAGGAGCCCCCAGTGAGGCAGATGGGACCCCGCTGTATCTTGGTACTATACAACAAGCTCTTGGAGTGGTCCATGTTTCTTACAGCATGTACTCTCTTATCCTGTGATCAGGCAGATATGGAGCTTAGGAATAAAGTGAATTCTGATTTTTTTTTTTCCATTACTTCCAAGGAAGCAACGATGCCTGTTTTTCTTTGGACTCAGGTCATTTCTGTTTTCGTTGTATGGGACACTGCTTTAAACACATACAAGAAAAAGCACTACCAACATTTCTGATTGGCATGTGGCCTTCCTGATTATTAGCTACCTGGACATTCATAAAGACATTTCTTAGAATCCTACCATCTTTAATATTTTTAACAGGCACAAAGGAAACATTTGTAGGGCTAGAATTTGAAGAATAATGCTGATTTTTCAATAATCAACACCACTAAAAATGATTCTGCCTCTCATTATTTAAAATATTTTGGTAAGAATTTGCTTACCTGGGAATATTCAAAGTCAGTGATAGGGGCTATGCTCTTGATATAATCTGATCGAAACTGGTTCTCAGGGTTGGCCAGTGGAACTGGGGGTATTATAGTACTCATTGCCGAGACAATTGTCTAAAATGGGATAAAGAAAAAAAGCACAGAAATATAATATGCAATGGTCCCACAGATGGTAATCAGAAATATAGACTTTCTGCTTACACAGCTGGAGTCTAGTCTAACATTTCTGGTGAACAAACATTAAAGAGAATCCTTACCACAATAGCATCTTTAACATTTTTCCTGATGTCCAGAATTTTCTGCTTCTTTTCCCTGTATTGAAAGAGGGTTGTTACTAATTTAATTCATGTTCGTTGATTCATGAAAGGTCGGTATCAACCCCTAAAGACATCTACAAAGTTTATTATCTAGGAAATGAAAACACTCTCTTCTTCCAATTTTTGCTCTAAACAAATTGAATGTATCTACTTTATAATCTACAGCTGTGAGCAACCACGAGAGTCACAAAATTGGAAAAAATATTATGGATACTACATAAAACTATGACTCTACAGTTTTACTTAAACCCATGAGCATGTTGACAGTTATAAATTGAAGTAGATGTAAGCTGACCTATTGAGAAGTGTATGTTGAGGTATGGTTAGCGATTCCTATAGGTGGTTCTATATTGGTGGGTTCAGCCAACTGAAGATCAGAAACATTTGGGAAAAATTGCTTCTGCACTGAACATTTGCAGAAGTTTCTCCTTGTCATTATTTTCTAAACCATTCAACATAGCAAATATTTTTACAGCATTTATTAATATATTGTAGTGGGTATGGATTATTCAGAGGTGATCTGAAGTATATTAAAGGATGTTTGTGCGTTATATGCAACTGATAAAGCACTTTACATAACAGATTCCAGTATCCCCAGATTTCGGGGGTCCTTCCCCTTAGATACCAATGGATAAGAGATCAATGCATTGACTGAGGACTTAGATCAATACCAATGTTACCGACATTCCCCAAGAATTCCTAACAAATTGTATTTTGGTACACAATTTACTTTTTAAACAAGATACTGTCAGAAAAATGATTTGCTTAAATGTACCAAATTTAAAGGCAGATTTCTATACCACTCCCCCTTGGGGAATCTATTCAGCTATTAAAAAAAAAACCTTCTGAGAAATGGCACAGTTTGCATGCAGTTGGAAAACCAAATAAAAAATGATTATTCTTACTCGGGGTTGAATCCGTTGACGTGCAGGATTCTCATTTGTTTGACGATTGTGCTTTTTCCAGACTCTCCAGCCCCTGTGAACAAACAGAAAGAATGTGGTCACCTGTGTCTTAGCATGCCATCTCTGTCTCTACCCAAGGTGTTCTTCCTGCGTGGGGGTGTTGACCCTGGCCACGGGGTCCAGTGCGTCCTGGCACCCAGTGGTGTCCTGCTGGGACCACGCGCTCCGCTTTGGGGCGCGGGGATCCGCAGGGTCAGGGTGGCCACGCGTCCCCTGGCCTTACCCAGTAGCAGCAGGCGGTGAGTTGCTTTGTAAGCCAGGCGCTCTTTCTGTAACTGCTTCTCGATCTTTTTGTTGGCCTCACGTCGTTCTTTTTCATCGACGCCCTGGTCTTCCGCTGTCTTGCTGCTGTTGCCCAAACACCCCATGCCTGTCTGCTCCGGTGCGCCTCAGGCCAGTAGGAAGGCGCACAAGAGCTAGAGCAAGCCGGAGATGTGCGCTCCCACGACCGCCTCTCAGCTGCCTGCTGTTGAAAGAGATGGCCGGGTCCCTGGGGGATCTGCGATCGCCACCGGCCTGTCCCTCCCCCTGCCCTTGCACTCCCAACTAACAGTGGCCGAAGACAGATGCCGTGGAAAAGAAAGTACTCTTAGAAATCCGGGTAACTAGGCAGGGCGCTGAGCAAGGCCCCCGCTCCGCGCAGACAGCCGGGTGCCCCTCGCCCTGCGTCCTGCTCAGCACCGCCCAACCGATGGCCAAGCACCGCCTGGAGGTCAAGAGCGCGCCCCCGCCCTGTCCCTGATGGGCGACTTTGTCCACCTACTAGGCTGCTGGCTGCTTCCCTGCTAGGTGCCCCCCCCAGGCTCCCTCCCTGAGAACGAACTGGGGACAGGGATGAGGGATGGCTTGGGGGCTCTAAGGAGCGGTCCCCTAACTCCGCGCGTGGCCGAGGAGGGCCACCAGGACTGGGGACGCTTACCCTGGCCCGCGTGGCTCCCTCGCACCCGGCGCCCAAGTACGTCTGGGCGCGCACTCCCTGCTCCCCGCTGACGCTTCCCAGCTCCCTGGCGGGCAAGGACTCGCTGGAGATCATGCGTCTTCTATGGGGAGGAGGATCGCTGGGAGGCTCACCAGTCAGAGCTTTTGCTCCCTTAAGCTTCTAGACTGTTCCAGCTCGCCCCCGCCACCACCCCTCCAGCTTTTACTTCCAGCCCCCATTTCTTCTTTGCAGTCTGTCAAACAGCTCTACTGATTTTTCTAGAAGACACCATGTTTTTGAATTTGGCCTTAGGGCAGAGTAATGGTAAGGACAGGAGGCTGGCAGCTGCTGGTCTTTAACTGTGGCTGAGGATGAGCACTCTGTCTTGCTAAGCTCAGGGCTTTGCTTTGTGTTCACAGTGTAAGAGGAAAAAAGAAGTGACTAGGGCCCAACTCTTGGATCCCAGCACTGCGACATGGTGAACAGAATTGCTAGAGACCATGGCAAATGGGCAGTCCCCAGGGGCTCAGGACCCACCAAGTCCTTCAAACCTTTGCTCCCCTGTCTTCAGTCCCCGCCCCTTCTTTCAAACCCACATTTCCCTTTGCTATTGGCATGACCTGGCCCGAGTCCCTGAGAGGAGACACAAGTGGGCTTCTCTGTCCAGCAGACAGCCCATGTCTCTTGGTCCCTTTCCTTCCGTTTGTCTTCTTTCCTCCAGCTTTCCTCACTTGCTTCAGTCTCTCTGTTCCTATGGGCCTGCTTCCCCCAAGGATGCACGTACTCTCAACGCTGCCCCATTGCAAACCAAGACCTTCAGTCTTCCCCTCTCATTAAGGACTCCCAGATCAATCTTTCCTGCACAGCTGTGGTCCTGCTTGCCTTTCTTACCTCACCCCAACCCCTAGCAGCCTGCCGGTGGCCCGTGCTCATATACTAAGGAGCCTATCTTCATCAGGATCATCAGAGGATTCTGGGATTGCTGGTCTTTGGCCTCTCTGTGGAGCCATTCTTGATCCCTTCTTGGATCTTGACTTTTAACTGCCCATACCACCCTTTGAGTCTTGCTCACCTCCTCTGGCTGTAGGACCTCAGCTGGTCCTTTCTCTCCAAGACACAAGCTGGTCTGAGACCTCCAGCCCATCTCTCTTCCCCAGTCCACCACAATCCCAAACACAGCACCATGCCTCAAGCAACTTCCCATTGCCAAGGACTGAGCTTATCCTGTGCCCACCCATACCTTCCACCTTCTCCTTTCCCTCTGTTTCTTCCAGATTTCTCTCTCTCTCCCTCTCTCTCTCTCTATATGTATATATAGTTATTATTTTTATTTTATGTGTATGAGTGTACTGCTTGCATGTATATATGTGCACCCATGTCATGCGGTGCCCACAGAGGTCAGAAGAGGGTGTCGGATCCCCTGGAACTGGAGTTACAAATGGTTTTCGGCCACCATGTGGGTGCTAGAAACTGAACCTGGGTCCTCTGCAAGAGCAGCCAGTGCTTTTAACCACTGAGCCATCTCTCCAACCCTTCTCTGGATTTCTTACATCATGTAAGAGTCAACACTGCCCCCCCATCCCCCATTTCTCTTGCAAGCAGAAAAAGTTGTTATATCCTGTTGGATGTTTCTTAAATATGTCTTTGATCACTAATTCTAAACTCAGTTTCAGCAGTACAATAGTATTTGCACTGTCTCCAGTCTCATTCAATCGCGTCCTGCACAATTCTGTGTTCACACTACAAGTGAACTATGTCACTGTCCCCGCTGCAAACTCCTGGCCTCGTCCTTTCAGCTCCAACTGCTACTTCTCCACCCTCCACCAATCCCTCCTTCTGTGACCAGTGTAGTTCAGGTGCATTGCTGCTCTGCTCTTGGGAATACCTGTGGCCCCTCAGTCATTCAGCCAACTCAACTCCTATTTACACTCTTGGGCTTCACTGCCTCCCTTGTAGCCACACTGTATTAGTCAGGTTCTCTAGGGGAACAGAATCGATAGAATGAATATATCCTGAAAGGGGATTTGTTAGATTTGACTTAAATGATACGACACGGCTGTCTTCCACTGGGGAGAGTGAGAATCTGGTAGCTACTCAGTCCATGAGACTGGATGTCTCAGCAGTCCCAACCTGGTGCTGAAGGCTGGAAGATTACTGGAGAGCTACTGGTCTTTAGTCTGCACTGAAAGCTTGAAGATGCTTGTTCTAATATCAGTGAAGGAATGCTGCAACAACAGGATAGACGAACTCGCAAGCAAGAGTGAAGGCAAGCAGGCAAAAGGCAAACCTTTCCCTCTTTGATGTCCTATCTGGGCTGCTGCCAGAAGGTGCCACTCACATTTAGGGTGGGTCTTCCTGATTCAAATAAACTGATTAAGAAAGTCCCTTACAGGAATGCCTGATGGCTAGTGCTGTAGTTGATTCCAGACCTGTTCAAGTTGACAACTAAGATTAGCCATCACACATGCCTAGAAACCCCTTTCCATGTTCTCACAGACCCAAGTCCCTCCTTCATCTCATCCATCACATTGCATGCAATGGCATGCATCCTGCTGCATCATAATTCCACCAGATTCTGTGTGCCCAGAGGAATGGGCTCAGTACCTGCTTCACCAACAAGCAGTGTCTGAGCCAGAGATGCACTGAGAATATTGGGTGCATGAAGAATTCACAAAAGCCAGAGACAGCTCTTAGTCAAAGTATGGGCTAGTCCTGAGAGGAATTTCAAGATCAAATTTTAAGTTCATAAATATTTCTCCAGTGTAGTACTATATTGAAAACAGGAAAACTTCCCCTACAAAACAAAGGCAGAAGCTAACACATAGTACCACATTCCATTTTGGGCTAGATTAAAAATTCCAGTTTTGTAGAAGACAATTTAGCACAGTAGCCACATTTGTGACTGTGGTATCACATACCCAACCGGGCAGCATCAACTCAACAGGTACTTTGGCTAACAGGGCAGGCAGAAAGTGGGGATGAAAGTATAAAATCATAGTGTAGTGTGGGTAGATATTTAAGGATTTGTTCATTTTAAATGCTATAGTTTCTATAAATTATTACAAAAGAACTTGGGAACAAACCAGATTTCATGCAAACTTATAAAGGGAGAATTAGATTAGCACCCCCAAACACATATTTAAGATAATGTGATACTGTCACTCTAAAATATAGTGAGATTTGTTCAGATTTAGAAATTAGGGTTAAAGACAACTCACATTTGGAATTTAAAAAGGATTAGATGCAGAGATATAATGAAAAACCAAACCATATTATTCCCAGAAAGTTAGCAGGTAGTTAATATGATAACAAATACAGTAGAAAACAGATTCTGATTATTGAAAAATGCTTGGCGCTGACTAGCCTCAGTTCTGTCTCTGGATTTTTTATTTTTTTATTTTTTAGTGTTCACAATAATCCTAAAACATAGGAATTATTGCCATTGTCATTTTAAGGTCTCAGAGTGGAGAGTTAGAAGGGCGACTGCCTGACTCAGCATCTGTACTGTATGACATACTGTGTGTGCATCCACACACAGCTTTAAATTACAGGTACCATATTCTAAACTATGAAAGTGATCGCTTCATTCGCGGATGAGACATTTCTTGTGAAAAGTACAAAGCCAGTCCCAGCTGCTTATCAGGAGTTCAAAGCATCTTCATTTTTCCCCCCGGTCCTGGGGATGAAGCCCAGGGACTCATGCATGCTAGGGAAATAGTCTAGTATGGAGTTGCATCCTTAGTCCTCAAATTTTTTAAACTTTAAATCCAATAATCTGGCCTCTTGCTATTCTAGTCTGGTAAACCAATTCTCATTCGTGTTTTGGACCATTGAATCAGAATCCAGAATACTCGGTGGCTTCTCTGGAACTGCGGAGCCGATCCGGTGGATAACTCAGAAAACTGACATGTAGCCACAGCAACGCATCTGTTGCCAGGCAACCGCAGTAAGGCATCATCAGGCTCCCCAGGCAACGCTCATCCATCTGCAGGGTCTAAGCTAAGCCCGATGAACCTCACCAGCAGAGGGCGCAAGCAGACGGGATCAGGGAAAAGAGCTAGTGAGGAAGGCTCCGGAATGCTAAAGCATCAAAA